TAGCAATCAATCAGAGGTTAAATAGCAACACCTTTTCTTTTATAATTAATAGCTCAATTGTCAATTTTAGATCGACAATAGACATGTCGTGTAATGGCATTGCTTGGATGCACGAGGAATTACGAATGCCACGTTTCCATGTCTCAATTCTTTCTATATTGCACAAACTGAGCTAACTCGATGGTATTCTTTGAGGTCCCGAATTCGAACACCATAAATGGCAAGAATGTGAACGTTTAAAGTTAAAAATTCTTTCTATATAAATTCAATGCCTCTAGTGCTTGTAGAGTCCATGAATCTTTCTATCTTTTCTCAACCTTTCTCTTCACATTATATGATCCTATACGAGCCTTCTTCTACATGTTCATTTTCCCCACCTTTCTCCCCCACTCTCATCCATCTTTGATCCATTAACCAGTTGGTATTTTCACCTGTCCGATGGAAGATACAACGAATGGGTAAGTCCCGGAACCTCGAACGGTTCACGAACGAAGTCACTCCACCTCGGTTAGTCGCCGTTTCCAAGCGTCAGTTGATGTGAACTTTAGCCTCCACGAACATGTTCGTCACCGATGTGTGGTGAAGAGGGATTTTGGCTTTCGAGGCAACTTGAGAGCTCGATGCTATTGTTCCTCATGCGGATGGCTAAGACAAATTGAAACTGAACGGCTCTGTTTCTAAAATTGGTTGATTAAGGGGATTCAATAATGGTTTAATTTAATGACATGAATAAGTAGATTAGGTGAAGCAACCGTTTTTGCTACGTTTTTGCAAGCAATATTGTGTCTGCTTTCGCCTTGTTTGCATTGTTTTCCGTCTGTTTTTCTTTTTTAGATTGTCCTGGAAAATTTCTTAACTGCAGATGATGAGATTAGTGTCGAGTTTCATGAGTTGTTACCAGCAACAAAGATTTCAGTTCTTTTACTTTTTGACTTTAATTAAATAATAATAGTAATAATCAAATATAAACTCACTCTCTATGGTTAAAATTTGATTAAATATATTTGTTAAATTCATGATCGTTGAATATTATATATCTATCTTTGTGAACCTAGCTATCTTATTAGCTAAAGGATTGTTTTTATCCTTTGAGATCTCGAGTTCGAGTAATATGTATACAGTGATATAAGCGTTTACTGTCAAATGATCAAAATTTTTAAACATATATTACCTCGTTTTCACCTCATATTTATAAAAAAAAATAATTGGAAAATTGTAAACACCTCAAGTTCGGTGGTATTGGAGTTGTTTACTCTAAGGGTGCGTTTGATTCACGGAATGTAAGATTATTAATGTGAATAAGATTACTGTGAATGTTGTATTTTATGTTTGGTTGGCTTAGCAGGAATGTAAGATTACCGTGTTTGATTAAAAGAATAAAAGATTATTGAAATGTATATTTGATCAAATTATCCTTATTATATATTTGTTTTTTTACAAATTGAAAAATATTTATATATTTTCTTTAAAAAATTTAAATTCATAAAATTCATATAATTTTTTTACAAAATTAAAAATATAAAAAAATTTAATGAAAAGGTAAAATTTTATTTTAACCCCTGAATTTCATATAAAATTTTAATTATAGAATTTAACATTCGTAGAATTTTTATTATTCGATGACAGAATAAGGATATTTTTAAAAGAAAAAAAAATTAAGAACATTTTAGTCCAAAACGCCGGTAATCCAACAATATCCAAGGAAAGGGAAGTAATGACATTCTCGGTAATATACCCCTAAAAAAATTATGAACTATCAGTTGATTGGGGCTTGGATGAAAATTATGTTAGTAGGAACAAAATATGAATGGTTTACATTGGTGGGCAACTGACATATGCCATATTGAACTATACTGTTGAACTAAAAAGCAAAACCACACCATTCCAAATAAGAAGCTTTCACAAAGATCACTAGTTCACTACACCCCTGTATGCATATTCTATATAAAGAAAACAAATGGCCACCTGAAAAGCAAAACTAAAATGTTCACCTTCAAAGGTCTCTTACTTGAAACACGATGTTCAAGAAGAGTATCACAATGAGACAACCAAGACATTTCAGATTGCATCATAAGCTTTGGCCAGGCATAGCTAAATGGAACGAGTTTTAAAATGAAAGAGATAAATATCGATTCAATAGATACAATGTAATATGCCAGAAGAGAAACTACAATAGGATAAAATTGAAACCAGAACAAACGCAACAATCATCAGAAACATTCATATAACTAAGCGGAGCTTTTATGTTGTGGCATTCATTTCTAGAAACAATATTGATAATCAGAGGGATCGATTGTTATCAAGGTCCCTGGCAGGAATGAGAAAACTAGACCAGTCACCAGACCATGTTTCTTAAGAAAGAAGACACAATAGTGGCTAGAAGGAGCATGTCATAATACATTCATAGCAGAAGAATTTAATCAAAGAACCTGTGGCCACCTGATCGAAAGGGAAATACAGCAGTTTCATGAAAGGATCAGTTCACACAAAGAAAAGAAGGGAATAAAAGAACTGAACGAAGACGGTCGAAAAATCACAAGCCACCATCCTGAAACGCACACAACATTAGAAACATTGTTCTCAAATAAAACCATAAATATGATGGAATAAAAATCATGAGATAAATTCAGATCAAAGAAAATAAGATAAAAAAGATTAATCAAATCCAGACATAACAAAATATGCAAGTACTTGCTATTACGCAGATAAGCAACCGAAAAACACAGATACCCTACAATTGGATACACAAAGCATTCTTTATCTAATAAACGCAATAAGTTAACATTCTTCAAAATGCACATGAAAAATCAATCACTTATTATACTAGCGCTCTATTTGTCTTCGGACTTATAACATTCCAGCAACAACTTGACATGCTCCTTGACCAATTCACTTCGCTCAATGAACAGCTCCAATTCGGCGATTTGCAATTTCCTCCATTTCACCTCCAAAGTTGATTTCTTTTCGCTGTCAACCATATCTAAACCATGCTTTAGAACTTCCTCTTCCAAGCTCGACACACCGAACCTCTTATCAAACAAGCTACTAACCGAACTCTTAGGCACCTTATCGACCTCCATTGGCACACCAACATAAACTTTTTTATCAGGTGAAGAATGCAACTCTGCTTTCAATGCAACTACTGCCTTATTATTTGCCTTGGCTTTCCCATTAGATTTAGCAGCTGAAGACTCAACTTTCCCACTAATCCCTTCTTTGCCCCATATCTTTTTCGACAGATCAAAAGCATTCTGTTCATGGGCTTTAGAAAAAGTTCGATCCTCGCCCTTTTTACCTTTCCCGGAATTGTTTTCAAACTTTTTCTTTAACCTTCTAATCTTATCCATCAACTGTGCTTTCGTAACATCAGTATGAATCGATTTCTTAACAAAATCATAAAACGCATTCATATCAGCACAAGGATCAGCCCCTCTTTTAGCAGAGTAATCCAACATACCTTTCAACAGAGCAATCTCATCGTCTTCACTGAATAACCGCTGGAAAAGCTGCTTCTTCGCATCTTCACCGGTTTTTTTCACCTCCTCAACGGCAGGAGTCTCGGTATTATTCCCTTCTTCCACGGCTTTCTTCTTGGGTCGTTTCGCCTCCTTGGCATCTAGCTCCGTCTCGCCAGGCCGTTTCGACGAACAAGCCCTAATGGGAGAAGACAAGGGTTTGTTGGATCTGGGTTTCTTCGCGTTCATATCCTCCATTGGTTCCGTCGCAAGAGGCCTGACATTCGGCGTGGCAGTGTCTGATTCGGATTCGGATTCCGACTCAGACCCGGATTCCTCAGATGCTTCATTCCCAACGACGGCTGTTGCGGAGGCGGGCTTCCTGGGAGGCGGGCTCTTTTGGATCAACGGAGTAGACTGGGTTTGGGGTTCTTCATCGTCTTCATCGTCCTCGGATGAAGATCCAACTTCTTCGTCCTCGGAATTAGTCTCCTCATCTTCAGAAGTAGAAGCGGCAGGTGGGACTTCAATGTGGTTTGAACGCTTCGGTGCCATCGATTTTCAATAGAGAGAAAGGGGCAGAGAGAGGCTGATTAGGGTTTTGGTTTTGGTTTGATTGTTTTATTAGGAAGAGAAGTGTGGAAGGTTGAATCGAACGTTCATAAAGAAAATAGATATCCAGTCGGAGTATCCGAGTCCGACTCACCTCCGATTTTGATTTACTAAATTTACTTTGGGTAAATTTTGTAAATAATCCATCTTACTTTAGATTACTTTTTAATCTTCTAAAAAATTATAAATTAATCATTAAATTTAAAAGAAATAATAAATTTATATGTTTCCATCTATGATGTGAAATTAATAAATTTTATACAACAACATATTTAGCTCTTAAATTTAAAATCTTGTTAATAATTTAAAACCTTTTTAGAATTAAGAGTATTTTATAAAAAAAATTAAGATTATGTATATACACACCTTAAAAAGAGGGGGTGAATATAATATTATGGAGTGAACGACATTAATCCCACATTAATGTTTTAACTTCAAGACATCCTATATTCATGGGGACTATTTACGTATTTTACCCAATTACCTTTTTTTTTCCCAAATGAGCTTTAGGCGTTGGGTCGAGCATTGTTATTTTTGAGCCTTTTGCAAATTTTCTAACGGCTCATTTTATATTTTCGTCGGCTTTTAGAGTGTTGGGCTTTGCTTTCGGTCTACTGCTTCTGATATTTAATCCATCCACTCTTTCCAGTCCGATTGATAACGCCATAAAAGAAGGTTCATTGAATCGGTTTATATGATGTTATCACGGGAGTTGATTTAAGTGATAAGTAATTCGATATCGTTTAAGTAGGTTTTAAGTTCGAATCTTTATGTATGTAGAAAATCTCTGTTAGGTGATTCACCCACCAAAGTTAAGTGTGCGACCCGGGTCGATCTAGATAAATCAAGGAAAAACCTTGAAAACCAGAAGGAAAACAAAAAAAATCAGATTATATGACGTTAAAATAATTGCAGGCTTAATTTAAAACCTGTTAGTTACCGAAGATGGTGTATGACTACTATGCATCTGGTGCAGAGAACCAATGGACATTGCAGGAGAATAGGAATGCATTCTCCAGGATCCTGTGAGCATTTTTCTTCAATCTGTCATTGCCAAATTGCTTAGGCCTTAATTTGTTGACATTCTTTATTCTTTGTTCGTATACTGCGTAGGTTTCGTCCTCGCATTCTTATCGATGTAAGCAATATCGACATGAATACAACTGTTCTGGGATTCAAGATATCAATGCCCATCATGCTTGCCCCACAGCCATGCAGAAAATGGCTCATCATGAAGGTATGGAACTGTTCTTTCCATAGGACTGAATATTTTTTTTTGCTCTCTCATGACTGATCCTACTGCGTTTACGTGAAGCGGTGTAATCGGATCAGTGCTGCTGCAACCGATTTAGTTTATTTGTTAATCATTAGTACTACAACTGGTTTGCAGACGTAATATGGAACGAAGCTTTGTTGTTTCATGGAAGTTAATTTGATTGACAACCTCTAATGATGAGATCCTTCGATTTGTGACGGGAGTATGCAACAGCTAGGGCTGCATCACCTGCTGGAACAATCATGGTTTGATTTCTCATTCCGAACTTTCCGTTCGAACAATTATCCTTAGCTAATCCGATACCGACACTTCTTGTGAACTAGCAGGCTAGAATAACCATCTTTGTTTCTTAGTATACCTCAAATAGAATCCCTTCATTTGCTTGATATGTTCATGTTTCAGTTGTTCTTCGTGATCGAACTGGATTATCGAATCTAATTCATTCATTAATTGCTTGCTGATCATTTCAGACATTATCCTCATGGGCTACTTCTAGCGTCGAGGAGGTTGCTTCGACCGGACCCGGCAATCGGTTTTTCCAACTCTATGTAAATTTTTTAAAAAATGATACTTCGATGTCCTATGTGTTCAAGACCAATTTGACACATTTTCATATGACTGGTCTCCTTGCAGATTCAAGTTACACTCACAGAGTCTTCTGTTTTAATATTTCCTTGCAGATTCACTTTACCACCATTTTTGATTTGAAGGCCTGGACCTTGGGTGAGTGGTCCTATTAACTCTAAACTTAATCAATCTACTAATGAGATGAGCTTTTGTTTCCTCTGATTCTTAGTTTGTTCTTTCGAGCCATACAGGCCGATGACTCGGGGCTTGCTTCGTATCCATGTAATCAATCCCCTCGACTTTTGTAAAACCTTTGGCAACCAACCTGGCTTTGTGACTATCAGCCAGGCCATCAACCTTTATACTTTACACGATAAACCCCTTTGCAGTCAACAACATTCTTTCCGTCAGGCAATGGAACGATGGTCCAAGTATCAAGGAACTCCATAGCTCGAAGTTCATCGTCTATAACATCTCGCCAAACTGAGGACTTGACAGCTTGATGGTAAAATGATGGCTCAAACTGGGCAGAGATATTAGCAATAAAACCCCCCTATGCATGTGATAGTCTTGAAGAAGACAAAAAATTCTCAATAGGATACAAACAACCAGAAGACGTATTGTTGCAGTAATACTTCTGAAGATATGATGGTTTTTGAACAAGACGAGAAGAACGTCGAACAGGAAGTGGAGCAGCAGTGTCAACGGAACTAACTGCGACATCGGTTGAAACCACAAGTTCCTCCAAAATAGGCTCAGGAGAAGGAGAAGACTGCTGAATAGTTACTGAATCATTTGTGCAGGCTGAACCTCTGAGACACGTGGAGAATCAACATAGTAATATATAATATGAGACAAACAGAAGTCCTAAAAACATCAATGCAATGATCAGTCAAAGAGATATTCTGAAAAGGAAACAATCTCTCGTGAAAAACCACATTACGTGAAACAACTATTTTCTGAGTTTGCAACACATATACATGATACCCCTTCACCCTACGAAGATATCCAAGAAACACAGCAGACAAAGCACGAGCCGAGAACTTTTCTTGATGTGTCTTTAATGTGGAAACAAAACAAAGGCACCCAAAAGTTCGTAGATGACTGTAATCTGGTAAACGACCATACAGGACTTCATATGGAGATTTATTTTCCAAGACAGGTGATGGAAGTCGATTGATCAAGTAAGTCGCAGTGAGTAAACAATCACCCCAAAATTTAATTGGCACCCTTGATTGAAAGTACAAAGCTCAAGCAACAGCTAGAAAATGTTGGTGTCTTCTCTCAACCACAGAGTTTTGTTGAGGCGTCTCCACACATGAAAATTGGTGAAGTATTCCCAAGCTAGCAAACAACTCAGTAAACGGTTAATTCAGGGGCATTATCTGATCGGAAACATTTATATCAAACCCAAATTGTTTCTTTGCCATAGAAATGAAAGCATGTATGATTAAATTAACATCAGATTTGTGTTGCAACAAATAAATCCAGGTAGATTTCGAAAAATCATCAACCAAAGTAAGAAATGAAGTTTGTCCAAAATATGTTTTATGCTTGTAAGGTCCCCATATATCACAGTGAATTAATTCAAATGATCGTGTAGTATGAGAACAAGAAATAGGAAAAGATAATCTTTGTTGCTTAGCCAATGGGCAAATTTGACAAGGGCCTCGCATATTTACATTCTTTAGAGATAAAGCATCCTTAAGAAGATGCATGACATGAGAACTAGGATGACCCAATTTACTATGCCAAGCAACGAAAGAATCATTAGAAACATTGTTACAAACAACACTGGATTTAAAAGAAGACATCCGCAACAAGTAGAGTCTTTGAAATAGCTCACCCTTCTCAATCACCCGATGAAGGTCCTGAATTAAATAGTTCATTATGCAAAACAACACATTCAGATCAGAAGCGTTCAACAAAGCACTAACAGATAACATATTGAAGCAAAAATCTGGAACGAACAACACAACATGTAAAATAAAATCAGGAAAAAAACGAATTAATTGAATATCATATATGTCTCGAAGCCCTCGAATCCAAAATCCAAAATCTTACCTTACATGACAGTATTAATTGAAGTAGTGGGAATGTCCAAAGAAGATGCAGTGTGCAGCTGAGAGATAATCATGGCAATCAATTGCTGACATTGCTTGGGAGTAAGATCTTCATTAACTGCAGAAGAGCCTTGCTGAGAAACACATAATTTGTATGAGCCGCTTAAGTATCCTTACCACGAGAAACCGAAGACGAACTCGAAGAAGACCAATTCTTGGAATTATAGCCAGGAGGGTAACCGATCAACTTATAGCATTTATCTTTTGTGTGGCCAAGAATGTTACAATAACTACACAAGGGTCTATTCTTGCGATTACCAGTGCCAGAATGAGCCTTAACAGCAAAGGTAGGTAGGCTCAGAAATGGGGTGAACATTCTTTACATTTCGTTGATTCTCTTCTTGAACAATCAAAGAAAACACTTTTGAAATGGGAGGAAGAGGATCCATCAAGACAATTTGTCCCCTGATATGAGCATAAGACTCATTTAACCCCATTAGAAATTGTATTACCTCCTCCTACTGTTGTTCAGCAATCATACGTTACACCCCTCCACAAGAACATTGAAAGCAACTACATAACTGCTCAATCGAAAACAATTCATCCCAAACAATCTTTAACCGAGTGTAGTAATTTCTTACTGACATTTGATCTCGCACGAGCTCACACGACGCTAATTCAATTGAAACAAACGCGGACCATTCGATTGTTGGAAACGATCAATCAAATCTTTCCACATACCGGTTGTGATTGTATGATAAAGTAAACTTGCAGCAATATCTTTGGAAACCAAATTCAGAATCCAAGAATTCACTAAATTGTTGGCTCGTGTCATTGAACAGATCTACCAAGGACGGATCAAGAGCCTCAATCTAATCGTCAACAAAACCAAGCTTGTTCTTGGCAGAAAGAGTTACCAAAATCTTTTCCAACTATGGAAGCTGTTGTTGGAAAGCGACCGAGTTACCAAAATCATGTTGGGATTATTAGATTGATGCAAGTAATAGAGATTGGTCTCATTATTACAGCTATCATTTAAGGAATTAACCATGGTGAAGTGTGAAAAGCAAAACTACTGATACCATATAACGAATACGAAAACAAGAATGAAAAAACTTCTGTTTTTCATAGATCAAATAAAAAATGATACAAAGTGGTTTATATACACAGCTATAATACCTTAACTAACAAAGCTTTAATACAAAATCTAACCATAAATCTTAACTAACCAGCAATTAATATAACCTAATATTTTTTAATCATTAATAGAATCAAACTTTTTTTAAAAAAAAAATAATTAACATAACCGAATAAAATTCGATTAATTGGTCGGTTAACCGAATTAACCAAAATTTATAAATAATATATATTATATATTAAATATTTTATATTTTTTGTTAATTTGGTCGGTTAATTCAGTTCAAACCGAAGTTTAAACACTCTAATATATAAATAATATATATATATATATATATATATATATATATATATAATATTTAATAATTTTGGTTAATTCGTTTAACCCACCGATTTCGAACCGAATTAATCGATAATCAAAGTTTGAAAAAATCATTAACCGTTAATGACAAGTCGGTATCCGTTCAAAGATAACTCTAAATCATTCGATATTAAATACTCACACCACTCGCATTCCTGGTACTCAAGCCCGAGACCTCAAGGAACAACAACAATTTATTTACCATCGAGGTAGCTTCGTTCGTGTAATTCAATCAATTGTTAAAACATACACATTTCGAGAATATAATATCAATTATTATTAAAAGTTTCCAACACATTTCATCAAAGGCACGCACTTGATAAAAGAGGTCACAAATCAATTCCAATTTGCTAGCCAATTTGACCACATTAAAAAAAAAAAAAAAACTTGTCTTCATCAACCATTGAAGTCTGCGTTGAAGCCTCCCTCTCAGCTTAGTTGCTTCGTGTTCGGGTAGGCGGCGGTTTTCGATCGATTTGTCGATTTTCTCGTTTCCATTTGCTGGCAATTTCCTTCATCTGTTCCTCACGTTGAACCGTTTTACCCTTCAAACATCAGTTTCGTTCATTAAATGCCAAAAGCATATGAAAATTTGTTCGCATTCATTTTGTGTACAAAATTGAACATTTATGAATGCCGTCAACCATGTGGGGTGAGGCGTTGCATGATGCAAACAACATTGCAGAAATTTTGGTTTTCAAAAAAAAAAACTTAAACTTTTGGCTTAATTATAAAATAAGTGTTTAAACTATACTGTTTTTCATAAATAGGTGCCCAAACTTTTTTTTGAATCGTCCAGGTGCCTAACGTTACCACTTTAGAGGTTCGGACAGTAACCGTCGTCAAATTTATCCGTTAAGTGACACATGTCACGTTCTGGTAATTTTAAAAATTTTATTTAAAAATAAAAAATAAAAAATATATTTTATAAAACAAAAATTTTGAAATAGCCCAAAACTTTGAAAACTCTCATTTCAACCCCTAAACACACGCCAGTCGCCGCCCTTTGCGGTCGACGAAGCTCTACCCAACCTCACCTCGACGATCAATAACCCTATAAAATCGAGACCAATCGAAGTTTTTACCCCACAAATCCTAGGCTGAAAATTGCATCTCGATAGCTAATCGGCGACAATTAGGGCGGCATATGACTAGAGAAAATGGCAATGACTACATCAGCGGCGGTGGTCGTAACCGACAAGGGCAACGACAATAAGAGATTTGAGATTTTTAGGGATTTGGGTCTATTTTATAATTTAAGAGAAATTGTGGTTTTTTATAAATATAATAATTATTATTTTTTTAAAATTCAAAATTATCAGAATGTGACATGCATCACTTAATGGAGAAAATTAACGACAATTACGGTCAAACACCTAAAATTCTAATGTTCGTAACGTTAGGCACCTGAATCATTCAAAAAAGGTTTGGACACCTATTTGAGAAAAACAATTTAGTAATTAAGCCTAAATTTTTTTTAAGACCGATCAAATTCGAGTCAAATAAGAGATGACAAGTTACAAATTATGTGTCATGTCTCTTCTGCAAATCATTTTCTCCTTATGTCACATTAAGTTGTATATCTACTAGGGGCACTATTTTTATAGAGTTTTACATTCTCTAAATTTTTTTGAAGCCTCCAAAACTCTACATCCACCGGATAACCATCTTCTTTGACATAATCACTAGTTAGCTCACGTTATCTAATAGTCGTATCCATTAATCCCGTTACCCTATAGATACACATCATAATTCTAAACATGACACTATAGATTAAAATGATTTTTTTTGAATTAATCATTAGTATTCGATCTATTGACCAATTAGTTCAAATCGGATTATACGTAGACCCATTATGAGACTTTTGAATCTTCTTTTTCTTTTGGAGGATGACACTTCCTCTAGTGACCCTTATTCGTATCTTTATCATCAAAATCACATATTAACGGTTATAAAACTACTGACTACAACTCTTTAGAAAATGTGGACCGCCGATAGTTGATATAACTATTTTGTTCTATCAACAAAATGAACAAGACCCAAAAATTTCTTTTTATGCCATTACATGTCAACATTGATTTTAAGGGAGAGGGGCCAATTCTTTGTACATTAAGTGGACAAACGATACCAAAAAAGTGTCTCTTGTATTAGGCCTTATTTGTATGCATGCTCTAGCCTATAGGAAGGAAATCGAAACTGATTTGAAAGTCTTAGGACCATTAACATTAAAGCATATTATATATATATATATATATATATATAAGGATATACCCTCCCTGAAAAGGCATTCTTTACATTGCCCTATTCCTCATCACTTCCTTTCACCTGAAATATTATCTCTTTCCTTTTCCTTCGGCTCCTTCCCTGGTCCATTGTAAATTAATTGATGCCTTTGTTGTTTTCCAGTATAAAAGATGTAATATCACCATACTTAAAAATGTCGTGATCCACCAAATGGACTGATTCAAGTGATAAGTAGCTTGATATCGTTTAAGTAAAGTCTTAGGTTCAAGTCATTGTGCATGCAGAAAATCTTCACTGAGAGACCTACGCACCAAAACCAAATATACGATCCGGGTCGGTCTAGATTAATCATAACAAAACCTTAAAACCAGAGGACAACAAAAAAATGTTCGTGATTCGGAAATCGAAAACAAATTATAATTTATTAAATTTCATCTTTTAAACATGATTACGCGAATCGATTTTAGTTCGAACCGAAGAGGTTTCCGATCATCCAGGCAAACTTCTGGATAAGGATTCAATCGATGACAATGGCAGCTGAAGTGAACAGTTCATTTGCATCTTTTTCTTGGCTACAACATATATATGTCATGAAACAAAGAGGATTATTGTCCATATGCTAATAATGATTAAGGCGACATTTTAGCAGTGCAAATTAGATAATTAAAATTGGTATAAAGTGATTAATTTTGTAAGAGGTTCACAGAAATGTTGGCTGATAGACTGTTTATATTCTATTTTATTTTTTTTACAAAAAAGTTTAGGTATGGGGTAGTTCCCGGTCTAAGACTATGGCATACCTAAGACTTAATTGAAATTTATATAGAAATTTACATATTGTTCACCAAGTGTGACGGTAGTAAAATTCGAACTTGACCTTCAGAGTTTAAATTCATGAATTTCAACCACTTGTGCCAGCATTCGTTGACATATTCTGTTTTATTTAATATTCATACAGGGTTATTTATTTTTCTATTAATCATTCAACTTTAATTTATGTATCGATTTAATTATTAAACTTTAAAACACTTCAAATCTAGCACTGAACTCTCGATTTTAATTTCTTGTTATTGGACTATTAAATGGTTATTGTTGTGATATTGTTGTCAACTCTTCTCCGTCTTTTTTTAAAGGAACTTATCAACTTTTTTTTAATTGTCATTATCAGTCGATTTTCATTATTATCTATCATTTATAACAAAATCGATATCAAAATATTTATATTTTCCTCTTTTATTTTCTTCTCTTATGATATTTAACAACTCCGTTTTGCCTTGGCAACGGGACATTGTTAATCAAAAGAAAATGACTTCACACCTTTAAGGATCAGTTTGGTATAACTTTTGAAAAAAATGACTTTTAAAAATATTGTAGAAACGAACTTTTGAAAGCGTTGTATGAAAGTGCAGTTTAAAATTTAATTATTTGAGATTGTTGTTAAAAAGTGAATCTGAAAAGATAAAATATCTATTATATATATTATGTTGTAAACTAAAAATATAGCATTTAAATTATATTTACACTCATTTATGAATCATGTCAATTTAAACTATAACAAATTTTAAAAAAATTATTATTATATATGAATTATATCAATTTAAACTATGATAAAAATATAAAAATATAATTATATTAAAAAAATATTTTACATAACTCGCTATTAATATTTTAATATATAAATAATAAAAAATTTTGTTTATTTTTAAATAATTAAAATAAATTATTAAAAGTAATAAATTATTTTTTAAGAATGTTAATATTAAATTATTAAAATAAAATGTAAATACATAATTAAGTGGAGGTCATGCATTAGTAAGGGTAAAATTATAATTTGACTCCAAACAGAAAGTTGAAAAGAAATTCGAACTTTTACTGTTAGTTTGAAACCACCGTTTCTATTATAATTTATTTGTTTTATTTTTTATCCATTTAACGTTAATCTTATGGTCAAAACGAATTTTTTAACTAAAAGAACCTTTAAAAGTATTACCAATCGTACCTTAAGACGTTGGGACACATCATCCCTCCCTGCGACGAATAAACCATCACCCCCTTAACATGTAGGGTTTATGTGTTCCCTTCCTCCCATGTAGCCCCTGATAAAAACATACAACATGGTCAATATAAATTTCAAAAGAAAAAAAATATGGCCAATTTTTCTTTTAAACATGGTTAAAGGAATAGTTATTTTTTTAAGTTTTAAATTCATGCACCAACGACTGCAGTAAGGATAATTGAACGTTCATTATCAAATGATTAAGATTATTTAAAATAAATATTAGGTTAATTTAAAAAAATCCAACTCCAAGACATTGCATACACATTAAGAAAAATGTCCAATCAGTTGTTTTTCCATGAATGATTTAACATCTAACCCTGCTGTATTCTCATTTGTTCGTTGTTTCTAACGATTTCAACTCGATTGAGCTTGTCAAAAATTGACCAAACCATTAGACATGTTAAACAAATCGACTTGTCTTGTCGGCTATCCATGCAAATACATATACAATCCAGGCACGTTATCGTACAGGGTAGATATCCAATGGTAATAAACAAAGTAATTGTATGCGAGAAAAATATAAATGTACTGTAAATTTCAATTCAAGTATTCACAAGTGAACAGAGAATTACAGAGGAAATACTATTTTTCCTGTAATTTTATGTACTGCTTGATGAACAGGAAGTGAAATAATATGCTGAAACCAGCTGAGCTTCGAGACAAAAGCTACTAACTGTGTTTACCAGAATCTTTTTTCACAGTGAATAGTAAGCAAAAAAGGGTTATGGAAATGTAGGGTTAACCCTAAAAACAGGGTTTAAAAACAGAGGAGATTCCGTGGACAATCACATGTAAAGCGTCCCTCCGGTAAAAATATCTTCTTTTTGATCATCTGAAGGCCTGCTTTTCCAAGTCCTTTGAGCTTATGAACGTTCCGTGAAAACCGTATGGAACTCGAGACGGGAGTTGAACCGTGGCTTCTACCTTTAAATCCATGGCGTTCACGATTTGCAGCTCCGATTTCCATGTCTTCTCGTCGTGGACGAAGGCTAGGATATAGCCGTCGTCTTCATTCGGGGAATCGGGGTTTCGAGGGAAGAACAAAGGCTCGCCGCCGTACCTTTGATCGCCGTAGATGTATTTATGGACTTCTCCGGTGGAGAGGTCGACTTTGGCGAATCCCGATACTTTAGGCCAAGGCTCGGCTAGAGCCAAATATGCGAATTTGGTTTTTCTTCCGAGTAAGTTCTTGTTCACCATCCCTGCTTCCAAATTCACTTGCTCGGATTCCGAAATGATGGCGCGCCGAGTCGACTTGCCGGTCTTCAAATTCAATCGGATTTCGGAGAGAACGCTCTCGAGATTCTCTTCACATTCGTTGAAAATCGAATCTGGCGGCGTCATGCAAGAGCCGATCACGACGACTTCGTCGGTCTCCGACTCTTCCCATGCATTCCAAAGATGGAAACAAAAGCAATCAGGTGCCTCAATCCATTTAATCCCACAGGCATCATTGGCATTTTTGTCTAATACCCCAAACCTTGCCACCTTGTTCTTGTCATACACAACGGGTGAACCACCGTGGACCATCTCACCCAATTTGAAAACCACTTGCTGGTCCGGGATCACCACGAAATTCTCGGTGATTGCGAAGTCGTGCATCATGGTCGGACCATCGACCGGGATTTCGACATCGGGCGATTTCGAGCCATCGGGTGCGAATTTGAAGTACTTAAGATATGGTTTTTGGATGACATCATAGCTGAGAGCAAAGAATTCACCCGTTTGTGGATCAACTTTGGGGTGAGCAATCATTGTAGACTTTAACTGACCATCAAAATCATATCTGCCAACCGTTTTCAAGTCCCCGGACGGTGTGATACGAACATGGTAAGGCAAATCGTCTTCCGACATCGCGAGGAGGTGGTCTTTGAAGTAAACAAGACCAGCGTTAGCGACGCCGGTCCCATGGCTCGGATCCACGAGTCCGAATAAGCCACGAGCGTAGAAAAGTAACAGCCTAGCTATGCCTGAGTGGCCATGGAGTTCACCTATGGCCTTGGGGAAAACTGAACGACCGAAACATTTTTCTTGAACAAGACGGTTCGTCTCGGTGAACCTACAAGCGTAGCTAGCCGAGCCATTTTTGAACTGAACCGCATGAACCATCCCATCCCCGTCGAAGAAATGGTGCCCGGCCACCGGCTCGTGAAGCGGGTTAGCCCCGTTTCGAGCGTAGACTCCTTGTATACATTCCGGGATTGTGCCGATAACGGGAAGTCTCTGCTTAACTGGCTGCTCAGGTACAGGAGCAAAGTTGCCGGCGATTTGAACTCTGGGGTCGGCCGTTTTCGGCAAAGGATGGTGACGCTCGTGAGAGACTAAAGCATTCTCCACTGCATCTAAAGCCATAGCCGCCGCTCTCTGCAACGGATTCCATTGCTGGGATTGAGCTTTCTCTTCATCACAACATGTGTGTTGCCTAGGAAAATGAAGAATCGAAGGGGTCTGAAGAGAGCAAGAAATGTATCTCTTGAACACAATAGAAGAAGAAGAAGAAGATTTGGAAACAGGGAGTTTAGTACCCTTAAAACAACAGCTCGCACTTGCAACTGACGATGCTGATGAAGAAGCCATAGGGGCCAATAACTATTCTTCGGGATGAATCGTGAAATTTGATTGGGCTTTGAAAAAGAACAACAAATATTGTAGTTTATGAGAAATGCGTGCTTAGGTGATGTTTGGTTGAAGAGAAAATGTGGGGGGAGAGTGGAGTGATGAGGGAAATCGGGGAGAGAGAAGAAGGTATATATAGACAAGGAAAGGAGGGAGGGATCCATTAGACATATAAGAGGAGACCACGTGTTGCATTTGAGTTGGGAAGAAGGGGCCGAGTCCGAGTGAGAATGTTTAGTGATTTAGACGACGAGTTGCGGGACATATTTGCTTAATCCTTTGACACGACCACCCCCTATCTTCCTTTTTGTAATTTATTTTCCTTTATTTTGTGTAGAGATCCCAGAGTTTTAATGGGAATGAAATTTAGGTACTCCTCTTATTCTAATTGAATTATATCACTATAAGCGACTTTAATAGTTAAAAGAATTATTGTTATTTTTAAAGATCTTGGGTTTGAACATGATGTCTACGGAAATATTTAAACATTCGTTATCAAATAATTAAACGTCTTTCAAACAAATATTATCTTATAATCATCTCAGACCGATAAAAAAGTTATGCGCCTCAGCTTAAAATTTATTCATATTTATCTTAAGATTAATAAATATTAATCTCTTAATATTTGTGATTGTAATTCTTAATTAAATTTAGGTAAAGTATACAAATGGACTTTTAACCATAAGATATTGTTTTATTAAGCCCGACTATTAAAAGTTATAAAATGGTCTTCTGACTATATAATGTTGCCTTGTTAAGTCCTTCAACTATTAAAAATTATAAAATGGTCATCTGACTATTCATTATGTTCCAAACTCATATTTTTTTCGTTCAATTGGTAGTTGTCTAAACTAGACGTTAACGTGACAACCGAGATATGATAGTCATTTCATATTATGGGATTAGATTTTACTATATCACAATCAACAGGTTAACGTTTAGCTCGGAATGCCGTCAATTTTTAACAGAAAATGACAAGTTTGAAACATAATGAATAGTCGGGCGACCATTTTATAACTTTTAATAGTCGAAGAATTCAATAAAGCAACACTCAATAGTTAGAATACAATTTTGTAACTTTTAATAGTTAAGGGACATAATAAAGCAACACTCAATAGTTAGAATACAATTTTGATCAGGTTTTTAATATCTAAATTTTTATTTTTTAAAAAAAATTATACATGAATTTTAGTTTTTGTTATATTTTAATATTCACGTTCAAAATTTAACATTAAGTTTTGAAAAAAATTTAAAAGTTTAGGTATTAAAATAGACCAATGCATAGTTTAGGTACTAAACTAGTCAAGTTTTTTACAATATGTACTAAAATGAAACAAAAACTAAATATTAAGTTTGATTTTAAAAAAATTAAAAATTTAAATATTAAAACGTACTAAAATTAATAGTTTAGGTATTAAAATGATACATTTACCCCCATGACATTATGGGTAGGGAGTAGGGACAAGGGATGGTAGAGCGCGTTTCATCCTCAAACGAGACTGGTTTGGGGTAACACGTGGCCTTTGCTGCTTCTCAACTCCCAAATCTAGGTCACGTCATTTGTTCCACGCGCTTCCCCTCTTCTTCTCCTGGTTAACTAAATCAATTAAAACAAATATCATTAATTATCAGTTAATCAAGATGAAATGTTAAATCATTTAAATAAAATTAAAAATTTTGCATTTTGACGTTGTAAATAAAATAATTGAATTAATATGTTTTACAATATTTTTTTTAAAATACCTAATTGATTAATAAATTATATTTTAGTTAATTTTACCTAACGATAAAGACAACATAAATTTTACCCAAAAACCCTATAATATTTGCTGTCGTGTGGCACTCTGTGCCCAAGTTATTTAAATTAATCACTTAATCCAAAATGGGGGGACAGCAGACAGGTAAGAGTTAGGTACCCTATTTGACGGCACTGTCCTTGTATTTTCCATTTCAATTTGTTTTGTTAGTTAATTTTAGGGTTGAAATTATTGTGAAAATTGAAATTTGGATCTTAAAAAATGATATTATTAAGATAAATAGTTATGAATTTTAATATAAATAATTAAATTAGGTTGAATTTTCGGTCGAGTGGAGCTTCCCAAAATCCGAGATGTGTTAAGTGACAAATGAAGAGTATAATATTCATGTTGAATTTCAGATCGAATAGAATCTACCTAAATACGGATCTGATCAGATGACAAATAAAAGATATAATACTTGAGTCTAGTTCGGATATACCACAAACCTAGATCAGTTCATGCCCACCCCTAAGGGAGGTATTGAAATCTTTGATGCATCAAGTGTAATTCTAATGTTGATTAATTAGCATATCTTTTCAAGAAATATTTTGTTAATAATTGGTCATTTAATTATTGATTACAATAAATATATTACCCGATTAATTGATTTTTTTTATAATTACAGGTGAGAAAAGATTCCTCTTCCAATTTATTTCCCACCATGAACACGAAGGAGGTAAATAATATTTTTAACATAAAACTTTAAATAATAGGGTAACATGTAACAACCTTATCTCCATTCATCTTCTTGCAATTTATTTATTTATGTATTTGGGTAAACTACAAGTTTAGTACATATTCTATCATTTTTTATATGTTTTAGTATCTAACTTTTTTAATATTTTCAAAATCATGCCTAACATTTAGTTTTTATTTCATTTTAATACCCAGTTGAAATCTTAACATAAAGTTTTGAAACAAAATTGAAAGTTTGGGTACTAAAACGGATTAAAACTGATAGTTTAAGTACTAAATGCGTTAAGTTTTATTAAAATGAAATAAAAGCTAAACATTATGTATAGTTTTAAAAAATGAAAGTTTAGGTACTAATATGGACCAAAAATGATAATTTAGGTACTAAAAACATAATTTGCCTTATTTATTTAGGGTAAATTACAAGTTTAGTACCTAAACTATCACTTTTGGTCCATTTTAATACAAAAACTTTTAATTTTTAAAAAATATACATAAAGTTTAGTTTTGTTTCATTTTAGTATCACCGTTCAAAATTTAACGTTAAGTTTTGGGGGGAAATTGAAATTTTAAGTACTAACACGGGCCAAAATTGGTATTTTATGTACTAAACGTGTTAAGTTTTTAATAACGGAGTACTAAAATGAAACAAAAACTAAACATTGGATATGATTTTGAAAAAAAATGAAATTTTAGGTAAAAACGGATCAAAACTAACAGTTTAGTTACTAAAACAAATTAAAATTGATAGTTTAGATACTAAATGCATAATTTACCCGTTTATTTATCAATGGGAGATATGGTCTCTTCCCCTAATGTCATGGATGACCTTAAACCACTCAACAATTTAATATTATATTTTCACTTTATGATAATATTATTAAACTCAATCAAAAGCTAACGGTTGGTTAATTTGTTGATAGGTGACCAATCTCTCACCTTAATTAATAACTGAATTACAACATTCTCAAACCCTCTAACGTGTCCAACAATAATTAGGCTAATTAAGTAGAAAGTTAAGGGGTTAAATTAGGCTAATTACGACCTAAAACCATGTTATTCAACCCACCCAAATAAACCATGTGTAGTGCATACACGTGCCCGTCTGTCATTTTGGGGTTGGTTCGTAAAGCACTCGCATGTTAGATTTTTGGCAAACAGAAGTAACGATAATGATTTATATTTGCATTATTGATTGCTTTGGTGTATGAAATGCTGATTTCTGCTTATTTGATTAAGTTTTTTAAGGAATTGTTTCTAGATAATAACACGAGATTATATCAAAACAAATTATTAAAATTTAGGGGTTTTTTATAATTATTTTTAGTCATAATTTATTTGTTAGTTATATGATTGAAAATAGATAACGAGAAAATCGAGATTCTAGTTATTTTTGTCGAAAGAGGTACATGTAGGGATGGGTATGGGACCTAAACCCGACGTGCAAGGACAGAGGTAGGAATTTATGTCGGGGTGCGAATATAAAAAATTATATTAAAACCCTAAGGGTGCGAGATTATAAAATCTCAGGGGTGCGGAATTAAATAATTCATATAAAATACAAAGAAAATATCTAAAATATAAAGGAATTTTAAATTTATAAGGGGTGCGACCACACCCCTTCGGTCCATCCCTGCCGACAAGTTCTTACCCAAATCGACCCGATCGAGTCGGATTTTTTTTTAAATTGGGTTCGGATTCGGGTTGGGTCAATTGTTTTAAGGTTATGTTCGGGTCGGATTAGGTTCAGGTTTAGGGTGAAATACATGACCGAAAAAATTATAATTTTATCTTATATATTTAGGGATAATTGTAATAATATCCATATATATATTATTTTCTTTCAATTAAACTTCTATTTTTATTGAATACAAATAAGATAATTTAAATAAATATATTATTTCGGGTCAAATTAGTTTGGGTTTAGATTTTATCTCAAAAAATTGGATCGAGTTTAGGTCAGGTGGAATGTGTATATTTTTCATGTCGGCTTTGTGTTAGGTGGAGGGTTTATAATTTTCGGGTCGAGTTAGGTGGATCAAAAATCCGACCGGACCCAACCCTTACCCATCCATAGGTACATGAGTCTATTACTTTTGTTTTTTTCCCCTTAATGAAGCTTAAGAATTTAAAATTACTTTTTATCTAACAAGTTAGGTTAATATATTTTTTTATAAAAGAAATTAGGATAAGAATTAGGTGTTATTTTTTTTATTTTTTTGTTAGTACGAGATAAGTATAAATTAATATTTATTCGAAATACTCTCAATCATTTGACATTGAACATTTAAACATTCTTACAGATAGTGACAACTTTAGAAATTAAAAAAAAATAAGGATCTAGAATTTTAACATTCTATTTTCTAAAAAAGTGAGTATGCAAAATTCTTTTATTTTTTCATTCCCCTTAACATATTAAACTATATTTAACAATTTTTCTACAATAATGGGTATTCAATTGACCCCACCAAGGCTACATACATCCGCCTCTTCTTACCGACATCATGCTATAATCCGATATCTCTATAGATAACAATCATCCCTTACAATCATGATTAGTTGCCACTATCGCAATTGCAATTAATTAATTTGACATATTGTGCAGCTTGCATTACCAATATGTAAAAATATCTGAACTTGAAGGAGCTGATGAATAAATAGCATAGCCTTTTATTGTCTCCATAGGTGATGGAAGAATATCCTCTCAAAGAATAATTCAATTTAAAACTATTCGGACAACAGACTTTACCTGAATAAACTGCCAACTGCCAACTGCCAACTAACATTTCACTTTTGTGTGTGTTATCCTTAAATAATATTATACCAAGTAATTACATTTTGCTTTCTATGTACCCATCAATCTTAGCCTGTAAGCTTGAATAATTACAAAGTGCATGCACTTTAATAAAAAGTTTATGGAACACTAATTATCATTAACCCTATGTTTGATTTTTTAAGCTTAACCTTAATAAGTGGTTAAGATTAATCTATTATCTTATTATTTAATAATAGGAATTTAATATAAAAAAATTAAAAGAGAAAAAAAAACTAATTTTATTTAAGTTTAAACTGAAAAAGACCTAAAATAGATCATCAGATCAAAAATTTTGGGAGGGCAAAAGCCCTTTCCGCTCTCCGTGTACTTTTGTCCACGCACGTAAGTATATTATATGTATAAATACATAAGACACTACATTAATTAGAGGTTGGCATATGTTGGCCTCAATTATTTTATGGGGACCTTTTATGATATCTTGTTTAGGCGACCTTAATATAAGATGAGATTAACATTAATGACAAGAAAATTAGTTAAGAGAAGAGAAAGGAAAGGGAGCTTGCATTAACGATTGGTCTTCAATATGGTCCCATATGAAAAGGGTACGTTGAATTAAGGCACATGGAGGGCACATTGTTTGGCAGCAAAAGGAGAGGTGGGTGGCTACCCAAAACAAAATTAGTGGGTGCTACTTTGTGCTATGTAGTGTACCATGCATTTAATAATAGACAATTTACGGAGGAAAAAAAACATTCATTTTGTTTTTATTGCATATATGTATGTAGGGGCATGATCTGTTAACCCCTAATATAAAATTAAGAGTTTTATATCTTTTTAAGACCATTGGATGAGAGAAATCAAAGGATGAAATCAACAGTAGAAAATGAGAAGATATTCACCGGAAACAAAATGAATTAATCGCAGTCTTTGATTTCTCTTGGTCCAATGATCCTAAAAAGATATTAAAACTCTTAATTTAAAAGTGTAATTAGATATGGACCCATATACACATACATAAACATATACATATGCATGAACATAAACATATACATATAATGCATTGAAATTATGTTACAAGATAGATATTAGTGTGTTTAGTAGTTTCTATCGAGTCATGTTGTTAATGATAATTAAAACTGTTCATTTTTTTTTAATTTATTGATTAACATAATTTTTTTAGTAGTAGAATAATTTTATGACGTACTTGAATATATAAATCTCGTTCTATTAATATACACATATTATTAATTTGTGAAATAAATTCAAAAGAATGAAACAACAGGACGATACATGTTTACGAGACGCACGATAATATAAGATGGAACATCTAGGATGTACCATATTGATGTGTAAAAAAATTGTCAGCTTGCTGACGTGGACGAGGCAATGACTTGGATTTGTTACATTGAATTTTCTCACCCTTGCCCTTTGTTTTCCCTTGGTTCAAAGTGATGCCCTTTTTGCTTTGCTTCTCATAATTTTATCTTTTGTCACATTATTTTCGTTAGAAAAATATTAAACGTTTAAATTTATTCGATGGTACATTCTTCTACATAATACATTAATGACGACGTCAGCTGAATCAAATTTAGGGTAAACTACACAAAGGGACCTCCGATTGTAAGATATTGTTTTATTAAGTCTATCGACCATTAAAAGTTACGAAATGATCGCCCGACTATAGAGTGTTACTTTGTTGAGTCCCTCGACTATTAAAAGTTACAAAATGGTCACCCGACTATTCACTATGTTTTAAATTTGTTATTTTCCGTTAAAAAATTGACAATATTCTTAGTTGAATGTTAACATGTTGATTGTGATATGATAAAATATGATCTTAAAATCTCAAAACTATCATATCTCAGTCATCATGTTAACGTCCAACTTAGACAACGTCAAATTTTTTTATGGAAAAGGAAGAATTTGCAACATAATAAATAGTCGGGTGGCCATTTTGTAACTTTTAATTGTCAAGGGACATAACAAAGTAACATTGTATAGTCGGATGACTATTTTGTAAGTTTTAATAGTCGAAGGACTTAATAAAATAATATCCTATAGTTAGAGATCGTTTGTGTACTTTACCCCTAAATTTAATTTATAATAATTTTTTTGGTAAAAAGGCATCAAAGGTATTATACTTTTAAAAAATCAATGTGACCCTCGTATTATTCTCTCTCTCAATGTGGCCCTCCAATTCAGAAAATAAGTTTAATGTGGCCCTTTTACCAACATTTTTCGTTGACCGTTACGGTGCTGACATAGCAGTTCACATTGGTTGATAACGTGAAGAATAACATGACAGATGGGCTAAATTTGTAATTCAAACATGACATGTGGGCTAAATTGGTAACTCAAACATGACAAACTGTGGACCGTCACATCAGCACCGTAAAAATGATGAAAAGTGTTAGTCAAAGGGCCACATTAAGTTTGTTTAATGAGTTGGAGGGTCACATTGAAAAAGAAAAATAGATATATCTCTAATACCTTTTTAATTTTAAATTAAGGAATTTGGATTTAGAATAGTACAAAATGGGCTTAGAAAAAGTGGATCCAAACAAAAGGGTTGACCCACATTGTTTGGATGGGAAGCCGCCCTACCAATGGTCATGGAGACGGCAAAAAGCAGCATAGATTATAAGCGGTTAACTGTTTGGGACGTGTTTGGAAATGTCAAATCAATCAATTCACATTCTGCCAAACCCTGCATGCCTGTTTGGATAGGAAGCATGGCAGGTTCAATTCACTGGTCCACTTTCTTCCTTGTTTTCTTTTCCAAACAGGCCGTTATTATACTTGTCCTCGTATGAGGTTATGGATGCTGCTCGCAGTCACCAATTCCTCGAGGGTTATAATTGTCCCTATATGAGAAACCTTGGGTAGGACCCACTTACACTTGCGTAAAATTAAAATTAAGGTGGCTTTTGGTTAGATATAATCCTTTGGAATTTGGGGAATTAGAATTCAATTCCATCACTTTTTCATGTTTGGTTCAAGTTTTCTAAGGGAATTAGAATCTCTCATGGTTTTAACTTTTCATCAAATGAGCGAAAGTGAATTTCATCCAAGAATGGATGGAATTCAATTCCCTTATTGGAGGGAATTGAAATTTGATCAGACCACCCTCATCAATCTTTTGGTAACTTATTTATATATCGAATAAAAATATTTTTTTATTATTTCGGGTGGGGTCGGTCGGGTTTCTAATTTATATATTTAGGTTAGGTCGGGTGAAACTTTATTTTGGTCGGGTCGGATAGGTTTTTTTAAGTGTGATATTCGGGTCGGGTCGAGTTCAGGTTAAGGGTGAAAATACCTGAACCGAAAATATATATAATTTTATCTTAAATATTTAGGAACAATTACAATAATACCCCTCTATATATATTTTTTTCAATTAAGTCACTGTTTTTATTGAATAAAAATAATTTTTATTATTTCAGGTTGGGTCGGGTCGGATTTCTAATTCATATATTCGAGTTGGGTCGGGTCGGGTGAAACTTTATTTTGTTTGGGTCGGGTCGAGATTTTTATGTATGATATTCGGGTCGAGTAGGGTTGGGTTTTTTTATGTGTGATATTCGGCTTGGGTCGGGTTTTTTTAAGTGTGATATTTGGGTCGGGTCGGGTTCGGGTTTAGGGTGAAAAAAACCGGACCGACCCCAAAAAAAATAATTTTACCTTATATATTTAGGAATAATTACAATAATACCCATCTATATATAATTTTTTTCAATTAAGTCAATGTTTTTATTGAATAAAAATAATTTTTTATTATTTTGTGTCGTGTCGGGTCGGGTTTCTAATTCATATATTGAATAAAAATATTTTTTTGTATATTTTTTGGTAACTAATTAACATACTCCGATTGGAATGTATTAAAATATTGCTCTATCTTTTGGTAACTTATTAACATATTTTGATTGCGATGATTTTAACTTATGATGTTTATTAGCATGATTTTTATAATTTATTGAAATAATAATCAATCAATAAAATGAAATTTTAATATTTTTTAATTTTTTATAATATATTACTACATGTAAGTTATAAAACAAACTAAAATAAAGCAAAAAAATAAGAAGGACAATTCTGTCATTTTACATTACTGAAATCAAATTCATCTGACATGTCTGCGAACCAAACAGAATATGGAATTGGATTCCAATTCTATTTCCTGCCAATCAAATAGAATATAAAATTGGATTCCAATTCCTGACAGATTTCAATTCCTTCACAAAGTTCAATTCCCTCATAAACATTCCAGCGAACCAAACGCCACCTAAAAGTTTTATATTTTTTTATATTTTAAGACTATTAGATTGAAAAAAATCAAAAGTTGAAATTGATTCTCTGTTTTTATTCTTCTTTTAACGAACATCTTATTATTTCTTATTGTTGATCTTAACTCGTGATTTCTCTTATTATGGTCCTATAAAAATGTAGAACTAAGAGTTTTAAACTAGGTGTATATAAATTATATATTTTTTAATTCGAATGAAGAGTTGTGGTCAGTAAAAAAAGACAATCGTAAACCAATGAGCTTTATAATATCGCAAAAGTATTGTAGAGAAATAATCACTAATCTCTTCTAAAGCTTGGGGAGAGAGGGGGAAGCCCCTACATCAATCTTTCTTCGAGGTATAAATGTCAATGACTTACTTATCCTGACGACAACTGTAAAGTTTATCTCTAACTAACAATATAAAGTTGTCAAAGGTTTAATTATGAAATTATATATATATATATATATATAATTACATTGTATAAAATTAAAAAGTTTTATATTTTTAAGATATTTAGATGAGAAAAATTAAATGTTGAGATCAACAATAGAAATAAGAAGATATTCACTTAAAAAAAAAGAGTTAATCACAATCTTTGATTTATACTCATCCAGTAGTCCTAAAAATGTATAAAACTACAATTTTTACATTAGGTAGAATGAATTCTAACCTATACCATTGGACAAGGGAAAATCAAAAACTGTGATTAACAGTAAAAATAAGGAAAAAAATCACCGAAAAAACAAGGAGTTAAACCACCATACAAACCTTTTTAGTGTAAAAGTAGCTAGTTTTGATATCATAGAATCTTTGCCAGTTGGATGAGGATATAAAATTTAAGTGATAAGGCTAAAACAAGCCGTTCAAGATAAGAACTGCTAATGACCACTTTTGGTTAATATTTATATATATTTTGTCAAAACTCTTGAGGTTTCTTGTACAAATGCAATCCCCATTGTCTCATATTTAACTAAATATTGTCTCAAATTAAATATGACAAAAACAATTTCTTCAAACGACAAAATCCCATTAAATTGTTTTTACCATGATCAAAGATCTTTTATTCTTTCAAGATCCTCTTATCATGTGTCCTGTCGCAATCGGGCCCTCAGAGGAAAGGCCGACGAGTTGCACCGATGGGGTTTTTTCTTGAAAAGGTTTTGAAATGTTGGGAATAGCCGCCAATCATTTTAAGGTGAGATTGAAACATAAAAAATCGGATAATCTTACTAAAACATTTTATTTTTATCAAAAATACCAAATTTATCTGCGAAAAACCAGAAATCGGGTTCGAGAGTCAATTATATGTGGAGAATGATTAGTACCCCCACAAAGCCGAAAAATTGATACCTAGTTGATTACCCTATATTTAAAATTGGAAATTTTGAGTTCGAGGTTCTATTTAATTTAAAAATCATCATGAATGCCCAATTTGGAAAAGGATGTTGGTTTACTAAGACAAAAAACGACCACCCTCGAGCATGTAATGTGAAAGCTTCGTTACTGATCTATGTAATCGAACATTGCCTTAAAGTTTGAGAAATCATGATATGGGGGTTTTGAAAATGATGTCCACCTACTTCGGGAATTACCATCGGTCACCCCTTGAGCATAATGCAGAGAATACACTATTAACTCCTTGGTAAGTCAACATTGCCTTAATTTTGAAATCAAATCCAAACAAACAATTTATTTTTGAACCTAATTATTCTAAATGGTTAATTAAGGCTTCCCCTAACTTAAACTGTCAAATTATGTAATTTAAAGAACATATGGGATTAAACCTAGAAATAGAGGCTCTACTATTAATCCTATTTGCTTTTAACCAGTTATTGAATCGAATAATCGAGATGCTCCCTTGGGCATTTAGGCGAGGGCCAACACAAATTACTCTCTAAATTAAAGGACTAAAGTGAAATTAAACTAATGTGAAGGCACTAATTAAAACCTAGTTAATTTTGTTTAAAGAAAACCTAATTAAAAGTCTAAGGGATAAATTATGAGAATAGATCTAAGATCAAGGATTAATTTTATAACCGATTATTGGATCAAGTAATCGAAAATAGTCCCTTGAGCATGAAGGTGAGGGTCATTTCGAACTACTCCCTAAATTAGAGACTAAAGTGAATGGGGTCTAAAGTTAGGGACTAGATCTAAAGAAGTTTAAACCTAATAAGTTCAACCTAGGACTAAATTTAAAAAAAGCAAGATAAAATAATTACAATGAAATGCATACCATGAATTTAAAGGGTTAAATTGCTAAGGAAATTAAAATTCAAGGGACCAAAATTAATCATCGGACCAAGATGCAACAAAACAGCAAATTGGGGATCAAATTTTAATTAAGACTCAAATCTTACACACAGTGACCAAATCAACATCAATCGAAATTAAACAACTACTTTAAGAAATAAAGCACGGGATTAGTGACTAAATACTAAAACACACTAAATTGGTGAGGACCAGAACATAATATTCCATTTTTCAAAGTATACTAACAAACAAATGGTTAAATCACTAAATCAGGTCATCAAACTTGAATAACAAAGCAAACAATCATTTACATGTGATTAAAATGTAAAAACACGACAATATTAGGGGATATAAGACCAAAATTTTCTATTTACTTTAAACTAACCAAAATATGATAAATCATGCAACCAGGGTATACACATTTCAAACATTTCATGAAGTCAAAGGAAATAGGGATCATTTTGCAAAAATACGGTAAACTTATAGGGCCACGAGCGAAAATAACCCTAAAAGCTACGTTATTTAAACCCTTTTTTACCATTTCACGTAATAAACCCAAACCCTAGCCTCCTTTCAAAATTGTCTAACTTTGCTCTCTCAAAACCTCTCCCCCTTCTCTTGACCGTACCCCATCAGAACCCACGGCCACCGCCTAAATCTTCCAACTCGGTGGTGGAAAAACTCATCCGACGACCGAGCTCAGTCCTAAAGCCCCCTGAAGCCTCTATTTTTTATACTTTTACCTAGATCTTAAGCAAAAGACTCGCAAATTGAACCCCTAAACTAACCAAAAGCCACCGTGACTCCTCGGTTTTTACTTTCGACGAACCCTATGGCTACCATGACCCTCTAAACCCCTTTAGAACTACAACACATTCCCTTCAAACTCGTAAACAAGGCCTAAATTTGAAAAAAGTCGAGTCACTCAACTCTGTATAATATATGTATGTTGCATATGAAAAAGGTATTAAGAAATAAAAATGTGTATCATATACCATTATTGAAATTCGTTTAAATTAGAATCAGTTAGTACCATGACATTATTAATATGTGTAAATTACACGTTTAATACATAAATTACTAGTTTTGGTCCGTTTAGTACCTAAACTTTTAATTTATTCAAAAACATGTCTAAAGTTTAGTTTTCTTTTTATTTTAGTACCCACCATTAAAAACTTTAATTTTTATTTCATTTTAATACCACCGTTCCAAATTTGATGTTAAGTTTTGAAAAGAATGAAAGTTTAGGTGATAAAACAGTCAAAACTGATAGTTCATCTACTGAACACATTAAGTTTTTAATAGCGGATACTTAAATGAAATAAAACTAAACATTAAGTATGATTTTGAAAAAATTGAAAGTTTAGATACTAAAATGGATTATAACTAATAATTTAGGTACTAAATGTGTAGTTTACCCATAATATTTATAATTTAAGTTTTTAAGAAAAAACTCAAACAACTCGACTCTATTCAAATTTCATAAATCTGATTCCGATTCAAATTTTATAAATCCGATTCAACTTAATGTAAAAAAATTCAAATAAAATTTAAATAATAAAATAATACTCTTCAATTCAACTAACTTAAAAAAAACATTTCACTTAACTCGATATCAAATACTCCTACCAATAAATGCTATCATTATTCGTTTAATTATCACGTTTTAGTCATAAAAAAGTAACCAAAACAGACAAAACCATCTTTTTACATTTTTCAACACCTCCGAAACAACCTGCCGCCAACGACAGTAATCCGTTCATCAATCGCCACGTAACTCCATGTTGGGATATTCCGGCAAATCCATGCATCATCCGCCACACGTCGATGGAAACGTGTCCAAAATGCCTCGAGTGTTTGACTCGGTAATAAGCGACTCATCCCGATCCAGTCAACTCAAACACTACCAAAAACTAAACCGCACTACGAGTTCGTGCTCTTTCTTTTTGGAAAAGCTGCATGCACGCGACATTGATCGTGACGGACAAAGAACATGTGTAGCAACGAGATGCAATGCTAATGGAAGATTGTTTATTGAGAATCCTCCATGGCATTGCCTAACTCAACGAGTTGTCAATTTCTCATCTTTTTTATTTTTCCTGTTGATTTGTTGTTGGTGGAGTGAAGCTTATGGAAATTTCTAAGAATCAGTGTATGGAAAGGAAAAAAAAGGGTTTGGTCCATTAGGTTGCTCTCATTTTGACTAATTTAAATCGACCCATATCGTATATATAATTTTAGTAGGTAAATTTTTCAACGTATTTTTTTATACACAAAAACTCAAACGTAAAACTTTACTTAAATAATATCAAATTGTTTATCACTAGAACTAACCACATTAATACGGTTTGGTCCATTTAATTAATTGGTGCACTCAACATGGATTTGTTGTATTTCCACTTTCCCAATTTTAATTTTCAAGCTTAATACCTTTTGTTTTTGGCCAATCCACGCTTTGTATTTGATTTACTCTTTGTCAGCCATATCTAATTCTATTTTTAAAATGAATTAATATAATCTTTTAGGTTGTCCCGACCCACGTCGTACATATGATTTTGGTGAGTGAGTCTCCCAATATGAATTTTCTGTATACACAACGGCTCGAATTCGAGACCTTATTTAAACAATATCAAATTGCTTATCACTTAAACCAATATCTATCGATGAATATATATAATTTTATGTTCGAGATTTATGATTGTTGCCTTTAAATAATACAATCCCAAATATAATTTTATCGAAGTACGATAAATGAAATATTAGTTTAAGGTGGTATGAAAATTTTTAATGTATAAAGGACGGAACTAACATCGGTTAGTTCAAGTGGTAAGTAGTTTGATTCCGCTTAAGCAAGGTCTCAAGTGTATGCAGAAAATCCATGTTAGGAGACTCCTCCATCAAAGTTATGTGTGTAACGCGAGTCGATCTGAATTAATTAAGGTAAAACCTTGAAAAAGGGATGAAAATGGACATATATGGTACGTTGTAGTGACGCATTAAGTTATGCATCATCATTTAGAAGGTATTGGAATACGATATTTTGTGCCTAAATTTAGCACGCAATCTGCTTGTCATAATATATTTTGTCAACGCACATGAACTTTGTTATAAATCCCGAATGGTTGAAAGAAAAAATAAGTACTTAAATTATGTTAATTTTTTTATTTTAGGTATTTAAATTATTATATTTAATTATTTTAAATCATAATATTTTTAATTAAAAATTATTTTTTATTAATAAAATATTGACACGTCATATAAAATTAGATATTTATTTTGATCAAAAAATATTTTAGGGGCTTAAGTAAAAAAGGAGTATAGTTTAAGGACTTATTTTGACAAAAAAGTAATTGAGATGCTTAATGTGATTATATTTATTAATTTAAGTATTTAGTTTGATCAAAAAATAATTTAGATACCTAAAGAAAAAAATAATATAGTTTAAGTATTTCTTTTTAGTTTAAGCCATCCCAAATTAAATGGATGAAGGCCATAAAGGCCCTAAAAAGGGTTATTTTAGAGTTTGCTGGGCTTGTGTGGTTGAATATAGTTTTTTGAGTTAGATCTCTTGGGTCAATGGGCCTATCGTCTCTCATCTATTGAAATATTTTGTTTTTAGTAAAAAAGACCCAATTTTTTTTGGCTAATTTGGTCGGTCATATATATATATATATATATGGGATATGATCTTATTATGCAATGTAAAACTCTTTTAGTTTATGTATAATTCAGATCGTTGGATGAGTGAAAATAGATAACTGAGATTAAAAGTAGAAAATGTGAAGATATTTACTAGGAAAACAAGAGTCAATCGCAACCATCTATTTTCACTCATCAAATGATCTTAAATTTGTGTAAAACTAAAGAATTTTACATTGTGTAAGTGAAGATATAGGGATCTGATCTAATTGCATATAGTAAATTTTTTTTTAGTTTTATATAGATTTAAGACCGTTAGATAAGTGGAAATAGACGACTGAGATCAACAATAGGAAATGAGAAAATATTCTCCGAAAAAAAATAATGTGTTAATCTCTACTATCTATTTTCACACATCCAACGACTCTAAATTTCTGTAAAACTAAAAAAATACGTAAGAATTTACATATTGTCTACCAGGAGTGACGGTGGTAGGATTTGAACTTGGCCTTACAAACTCAAATTCCTGAATTACAACCACATGTACTAATATTTGTTGGCAAAAAAAATACATTGTTTAAGTGAATCTTACCTTATTTTTAATATCATGTGTATCATATAAAGTTGAGAGTTTTAATTTTTAACTTTAAAGTGTAAGGTTTATATTTTTTTTTGTTTTAGGTTTTATAATTAGAATATATAAATTGTGTAAAATAAACTGAATGCAACTTGTGTGTGTATATATATTATCGTATCTAAATTTTATTTTATGTTTTTTTATTATTTTAGATTGGTATTTGAACTTGATTTTTTTTGTTTAAATTAATTCCTAAATTTCACTTTTTGGTTTGATTTGTTTTTTGTGATTTTTTCTAATTAATTATTATTATATATATATTTAAAATCATTTGAATTTTTAGAGTCCTTCAACTCAAATAAATTTAAAATAATCTAATTTAAAACAATAAATCATGTTTTTTTAATAGAAGCCGCTAGTATTATTGAAAAGTGAAAATATCCGAAATTACAATAAGAGTTTACAATTATTATCGTAAACTAAATACATAATTTTGAATTTTCCTATAACATTGAAACTAACCACTTTAGATCATATAAATACGTAATTGTGGCTTAATTGGATTATTATGGTTTTGAGAAGGAAATGGAGGACTACCCAAAAGTGGATTATTTGAAGTTACATAGGTATTCTATAGTGGTATATGAGCATATGGACCATGTGGTTCAAATTTGGTAAAAAAGGTACTTAAAATAAAGGATGAATTGAAGAAATAAGGAAATTATGTCAAATTGAGGGATTAAATTGAAAAATAGAAAACTTATTATCAAAAAGAGGGAATTGAAAGTACATATGTATTATAAATGAAATTAGGGACTAAATCATAAAATTGTCAAATACTTAGTCAAATTTTCAGTTTCTCAAGTAACTCGAAATTTTCAAATTTCAACTCGACTCGAGTTCGAAAACCGAATTGATAATTCAAGTTGACTTAACTAACTAAAAATTGAAAAAAAATCGATATTTTAAGTCTCGAGTTTTGCTCACCCTTATCTGCTGGCGTGGGGGAAGGGTGGTGATAGGCTAAATTATAAATTATTAAAATAGATTATTATTTTTTAAAATAAAATAACTAATTTTATTAAAAAATATATTATTATTCCCTTATAACCATTGACACAATAAATTAGTCATTTGAGATCATATAAGGACATACAAGGAAAAGTTTGAAAAGCTCATCCAAAAAATTCAAACAATATATATATATATATATATATATATATTAATAGATCTGGCTGCATCAGTAAACGAACCATAGTATGAAATCAAACTACTGAAAGATTACCGACAAACACAAATCAAAACTAAGCATCATGAGAAACTATCTCCGAACGTAAATCACATATCTATATTCAATCCAAGAGCCCAAAGCAAAGAAAATTTACATGATAACAAATAAGCATCATATTAATCAGTCTCGATGATGTCATATCCAATCCTAAAAGAAAAAAAAATCAAAAAAAAAAAATCAAAGGACCAACAAAGAAGATTAAAAATATGTCAAAAGATCAAGATTAACAAATAATTATTTTTCAATTAATCTAGGGTACTTATAAGTGGTGGTATATATTCTAAAGATTCTTAATCATTTGACAATGAACGCTCAAATATTATGCGGTCTCTGATACTTAAACCTGAAAGCTCTAAAAATAATAATAATTTCTTTAACCACTAAAATTAATGACAAATATAATTTGATTATATGGGGGATAACGACCCATTCTAAAACTCAATAAGTTAAATTTGATGTTGTCCCTATACCAACAGCGGTCAAGCTTGGCAACCATCATTTTCTTCCTTTCTCTTTCCCTTACTAAATAATGGGTCCAACAACGTAAATAAATCATAAACCACCCATCAAAATTAAGAAACCACCCTAGAGGTAACCTAATTTAATCAATCGAACAATCCTCGAAAAAACCCTAGGTCGTCTCTCGTCCACGTATGTATCTTTGAGCTGAAACAGTGGGACACTCCTACATCTATTCACTCTAGAATTGGGACCAATCCATGTATGGCTTTCCAAAACCTTTGAAAATATCCAACAAACAACTTTGAATATGAAGTAAGATAATTAGACTATGTTGTCCAAATTAAACATTATAATTGCCAGTTCAAAGAAAGATTTTATTTTATTATCCATATTAATATGAGTGTATGTGTATAATGATATTAAAATTTGAATAAAATCTTTAGAGTCAAATCATGCACAGTCCCTGATTTTATATGAAATGTGTGTATAAAATAAGAAAACAAATCAAGGTAGACCCAAAAGTGACCTTTTCTGATCCGTCCAATCTCCAATGTCAAACATTTCTGGTCATACTTCAAATCATCCTTGCCATTTTCTAATACTGGCAAAAGGAACAACTATATTTTATATAGGGATATTGACTTCCCTCTCAAAGAAATCTTCACGATGGCATGCAAACACGTGGAACTCAAATTACAATATTTTAATTACGATTTACCTGCCCAAGTTTAAATTTTATATTACTTAAACCTTTAGCGATAGAGGCGAACTAAAATTTTATGTGACGAAAATATATTTTTAATAGAAAATGTATAGAAAAAATTTAAAATATATGATAATTTTAAATTTTCAGGGGGTCCATCCGCCCCCTCGGTCCATAATTAATATTAGGGGTGTAAATGAACAGAGCGTTCGGTGAACTGTTCGTATAACGTTCGTTCGTTAAGTTAAATAAAAATGTATGAACAAAATGTTTTATATTCATTTAATAAACGAACGAATACAAATAGAAGTGTGCTTGGTTCATTTATGTTCACGAACAAGCTCGTTTATTGAATCATTCATTTATTTTCATGAACAAGGTCGTTTACTTGGTTATCATTCTCCTTTTATTTTTTACATGTTAACTATTGGTGAAGGTAGATACTAAATTGAATACATGATAAAAGTTACGATTTAATTTGTAAATTTTAAGGAATTTAAGTACTAATAGTGTAATTTTATCATTTTATTTAGCTTATAAATGAAAGGTTTAAACTAAAAATTGAATATATAAGCGAATGATAAACAAATACTAAACGAATATTAAACAAATGCTAAATGAACGTTAAATAAATATGTTCGTGAATAATAAATAAATGAATACAAACACAAAATTATCAAAAACTAATATTGATTTAAAATCGATTCATTTACACTCCTAATTAATATTTCTCGATTGTAATCACCAAAATATCAGAACTCATATGTCTTTCACAAGACTAATTAATTTTGGATCATTTACGTAACGTGATTAACCAGTGCTACGTCCAATTCTCTTTCTTCCTTCATCAATCATAGAAATTGAAGCCGAAACTTGAAAATGTATTAACGTCAAAGCAGAAGGGTCCGTGCAGGGTCCACAATGGCATGCGTGTGCCCTTTGACTGACCTCGTAATCGTGTACATACGTACAAATGCAACGCATTTCAGCATGCAATTTCCTCTCATGTCCCATTGAATTACATAAATAAAGATACTTTTGACCCAATCAAAAATGTTTGGTCCTTCTAGACTGCCTCTAACACAACGGTCAAATAGTCTCGTCTCTCTCTGCTTTGACTAATGCATCCGTGCATATTCCATTGCTTCTGGTAGTCTCCCTTATATATATATGGAAACAGCATACACTAATACGAAATCATAAAATAAAAACTACCCTTTACTCCTTTGGCATAATTGGATTATTGGTTTCTTTTAATTCTTCTTTTGATATGTCGAACGGAGGAGAACCGGTGAAGGTGGTGATCATCAACACCAAGTACGTCGAAACGGATGCCACGAGCTTTAAGTCCGTCGTGCAAGAGCTGACCGGAAAAGATTCGGTAGTTACGAGCGATCCGCCGAGGCGGAGGAGCCGGTTTTACCATGAAGAGATGAACAAGAAAGAACAGGCTGCCGGGGTTGGGAGTGCTTCATCTAGGTCGGGGGAGTCGGTGTTGGTGAAGAATTTGTCATTCAAAAAGTTCGAAAGGCTGCTAAAGGAGATGCCACCGGCGGATGATTTGTGGTGGAGGATGGAGTGAAATAACCCATAGTTTTTATGGCTCTTGCAATGGTGCGTTCTTACACTAATTATTGCAGGGTTTTGCAGACCATTCTTACTGTGGATTGATTTAGTTATTCCTTGTATTATTCATTCATTATTTTTTACCTATATATATATATATATATATATATATATATATATATATGTATATATCCATATATGTTTCGGTAATAATTATCCTTCATTCATTATCAGTTGTGCGATGAAAGGGGTTAAACCTACCAAATATGAGGACCTTTAAGAGCATATAAGCCTATATCCATTCAAAACAATATTAATCCAGAAATAAAAGGCCCAAACATCCTATACCAAGCCTAGTCAACTGGACCCATCTGAACACCACTAAGCTGGGCAGGACGCAAAATTATACGAGAAGGAGGAATTTATAAAATTTTAAAGAATAAAATAGATAATAAATAAATATATATATATAATATATTATAAATTGAAATGTCCGAGGGACAACTGAATTTCGTGTTAATCCCAGTAAAAGCTCAAAATCCTCCAAACTCGAGTTCACACCCAGATCCACTTCCTTACCTAGTTTATCTAGTAAACTTTCTCAGCCACAACTACTAGGGAGAGATTCAGAATTAGATATTGACCGGGGTCGAAATATTAAATTTTAAAAAAAAAATATAAATGCTTATTATGTATTTAACCTTAAGATTCATAAGATAATGTCTAATTTGTATAATATTTAAATTTACAATGACCTAAATTGTTATTAGACCTAAAAAACTAAGAACATTGAATTATCCTTCTTTAATTCGGCCTCTACCTGACTAAATATTTAATATTTTTTGTATTTTTTAAATTTGAATACTTATTTTTAAATGGACTAAAACACTATTAAATGAAAATATATCGAATATAAAAATTTGTAGGGGTCGGGGCCCTTTGGGCCCCAATAGAGCTCCGCTCCTGACCACCACTCATCTTTTTCCCATAATCCGATCAATCAAAATTTCATTTTTTAAGGGTTAATTATACAGATGATTACTTATGTTTGTGTTTTGTTACCTATTTATCATTGATTTCAAAAAACATAAGATATGGTCACTTTGGTTTTTATTTAATTAAGATACAGTCACTTTCGTTTTTATTTAATTAAGATGTGGTCATCACGGGTTAACTATTGTTAACAATTAACATAATATGTGACGTGATAGTTGGTATAATCACACATTTAGTCCCTTTTTAAATATTCTCTCAATTTAATCATACTTTTAAATAAATTTTAACATAAAATATATATTTTTTAAATAAAAATAAAAATAAAATATTTTAAAATTAAGTTAATAATAAAATATATTTAATAAGTTAATATAATTTTTAAGCTAATATTATGAATTTAAGTATTTATAAACCAAGATACAATATATACACCATGTTGTCTACTTTAAACCAAGCAATGGTTAAGGCTTAATGGTTGAATACATGTTTAGTTTCCTAAGTTACCAAGGTTTGAATTTTTTTAATTTATTAAAAGTATGACTAAATTAAGAGAATATGTAAATAATATGAACTAAATGTGTGATTATATCAAAACTATTTAACTTCTGTTAACGAAAGTTAACTCGGGGTGACCACATCTTAATTAAATAAAAATGAAAGTGGTCATATCTTATTTATTTTTTTAAACCAATAGACAAAACACAAACATAAATGATCATTCGTGTAGTTAACATTTTTATATTAAACTAAAGTGGTTACAAAGTAGTATATGTTCTAAATACTCTCAACCATTTGACAATGAGCACTCAATCACCATGTTGCAATCGCTGGTGCTCGAACTTGTGACCTCTAGGAAAAACAACAATTCCTTTAACCACTGAGGTAAGTTGGTTCGTGCAAAATTTCATCCTTTAACATTTAAAAAATTTGATAGGTCGATCAATAATTTCTAGAGCGAGTGATTAAAAGTTCTCAGTTGACACATCACTTTTTTCCTAGACATAATTAGATATCTATTATGAGTCAAATTTCCCTTCTCCCTCTCTTAAATAGAAATTGTTCAAAAAAAATCGATAGTTGGTCCATTTTCTAATTGGTTGAAAGTGGCATATGGTATATTTTAATAGATGTCAGATGGTATTAATTTTAGGGTAAATTATACATTTAGTATTTAAACTATCAGTTTTAGAATGTCACTTTCAATTTTTTAAAATCATACCTAAAGTTTATTTTCATTTCATTTTAGTACCCCCACCGTTAAAAACTCAACGCGTTTAGTACCTAAATTATCAGTTTTGATATGTTTTAGTGCCTAAACTTTCAATTTTTTCAAAAGTTAACTTTAAATTTTGAACGGGGTCCTAAAGCGAGACAAAAACTAAAGTTTCTTAACGGTGGAATACCAAAATGAAACAAAAACTAAACTTTAGGTATGATTTTGAAAATTTTAAAAGTTTATATACTAAAATGGGTCAAAACTGATAGTTTAAATATTAAATGCATTTACGCTTCATTTTAATGCCAATAGACTAAATCGAATAATAAAATATAACTTAAAAGTTTCTATTTTATAGGAAGAATGATTCAAAGAAGAATATATAAAATATAAGGGTTAAAACATGCAATAAACAGTAATAAAATTCTATATTTTATAAAAATGTTTTGTTATTGAATATAAGTATTTATGATTAGATCGCCATTGGATCAATCTTGTTCCATCGTGATGACAACTGTGGGCTAACTTCATTAAATATTTAATGGGGGTTCTAGGCCCAAAGAGTAGTTGAAAAATTAAGAGAAAAACAATTAAATTTCACATGCAGTGTCTTCCCTTAATATAAGGAAAGCTCATCAACTTGTATTCGATTTCACATGCTTTGTCATGGACTAGCCTTTGTTATTATTAATAACTTGCACTCCCTTTTTTAATAAAAATAATTAAATGAAAAAATATATATATATATATATATATATATATATATATATATATATATATATATATATATGATGGACCACATCGACCTTCATTCCTTCAGTAATTTGAATAACTACAGTACTCGTATGGTTATCATATTTTAAATTTAACGAGACAAGAAAATATTCAAAGCTCTAATAACACTTTGACTCTATCATAAGTCTTCACTGTCACTTTCTTTTTTTTCTTTTTATTTTTCAATATGCATATTGTCTAATTTAATTCGGTTACCAACGGGTTTGTTTTAGTGATAAGCAGTTTGATACCGTTTAAGCAGGTCTCGAGTTCGAGTCATTGTGTATGCAGGAAATTTCCGCTGGAAGACTCACCCACCAAAACCAGGTGCACGACCCGAGTTGGTCCAGATTAATCAAAGTAAAGACTGAGAACCAGAAGAGCAACTATATATATTTAAAATACTCTTAATTACTTAACAATGAACATTTATACATTCCTATAAATAAAGTATTTATATTCGAAATCTATAAAAATAATAATAATATTTTTAATCAATAAAACCTCTTAAATAAACATAATAAAATTTATAATATTATAATATAAATATCAAAATTGCTCAATAATTACTAAAATCCATATATAAAGTGCAGGTGCATGTACAGTGACAATAGAAGGAAGAAAATAAAAAAGGGTTGAAGATCCAGGTTGGGATTTCCAAGGTTCTACTACCAATATTTTCCCACAAATTACACTCTCGTCCTTTTCTCTTCAATTTCTTTTATTAAAAAAACAATCACAATCGGACAATAATACAAGAAAATTATAGCTTTAGCATTCAAACTTATCAAATTGTATAAATTAATTAATTTTAGATAAATTTTTTTATGTATTTATTGTTATTTGTGAGTGATATTAAGGGAGTATATGCCCCTTTCCCATTTGCTGCTTTTATTCAAACTTTTGAACACTTCCTTCTCTCCATGCTTTTATCCATTGTTTTAAAAATTGGATCGGACCGGCTGGTTCAACTGGGAATCGTTGTCTAGTCTGGTTCAATTTACACTGGTTGAACCGCTACTAGTGAACCGGTCAGAACCGCTGAACCGTTCGAACCGGACCGGCTAAAAATCGGAAAAAAATGATTTTTTTTAAAAAAAAAAATTAAACCAAACGACGTCGTTTGTTAAACGAGCCAAGTCAAACTCGAGTATTGCTGAGCTCGACTCGAACTTGAAAACTTTAAAAGTAAGCTCAACTCTACTCAAACTCACGAGCTAAAAATTATCAAGTTCAACTCAAACTCGAAATATAATATTGAAACTTGAACTCAAAAAGGCTTGAACTCAACAAAAATTTAGAAGCTCGATTGAAGCTTAAAATTCGAGCTTAATTGAAGTGAAAGAATAGTTCACTCAATGCTCACCAAAAGACTCCATGATTTTGAATGTCAAATTACCTCTATTATTTATAGAAGTTATTTGTGATGCTCTTCTATGTTTCTTAGTCATGTGGGATTGTTTTGTTCTCATATTTTTACTCTTTAGACTTTTGGGACGCTTTTCTATGTTTCTTAGCCATGTGAGATTATTTTAAAAAAAAATAAACTAAACAAATATCATTTTATTATGATTTTTTTAGCCCCAAATTTATTTTTTTATTATAGTTATATAATTATATTTAGAGAAAATCGCCTCAGTGACAAAAAATGCCTTATAATATACGATTTTAACCAACTTTTTTTGGATTTGCCAAAATGACCAACAAAATCGCAACGCGAAATAAAAATCGCAACGCGATCCCCAGAATCGCAAATCAGTTTCCAAAATCGCAACGTGATTCTTAAAAATCGCAATGCGATAGTACAAATTCGCATTGCGATTTTCCAAAATCGCAACGCGAATATGAAAATCGCAACGCGAACACATAAATCGCAACGCGTATCCGTAAATCGCAACGTGTATCCGTAAATCGCAACGCGTATGGGTAAATCGCAATGCGTATCCGTATATCGCAACGCGTATCCGTAAATCGCAACGATAATCCGTAAATCGCAACGAGAATCTGTAAATCGCAACGATAATCCGTAA